AAGTTAGTAATGATTTGAACAACTTTGGCGCTTATCATTGGGGCCCAAGTTTGGAATAAAGTGGATTAGGAGGATCATCTGACCCTACTGAACTACACTACTTCGAGTTTGTGGCCCGAAAACTGGCGCCGCGTCGTACAAATCGTCACGAACTTCGCCGCGCAATTTGCCGCGCGCACCCTAGGACGCACGTTCGTACCGTCCCCCAGGGAGAGGAGGCAAGAAAAAGAAGAACTGCAAGTTGCTGTGTACTTCGGTACGCATTTCATATGTTCAAAGGACTTGTGAGCTCAGCCTCGTTTCAGACAAATCGGCTGTCAATTTAGCAACTCTTAGAGGATGATGACTTATTCGCTTAGAGTTTGTGGGAAATTTGATGTAGGAAGCGATGCAATAGAGGTAAAATTCGAGTTTACATCAAAATGACATGTTTGAGTGGCGCCAAATTTCGTCGGAATGCACTGATTCATAAATGATGTCTGCACAAGAACCTAACGCTGCCGGTGTAACCAAGCTCCAAGCCATTTCATCCATTGCAAGGTGAATAATTGAGCTCTAATCGCTGCACGGTGTTTTGGCCTCAATGTTATTCTGATTTAACCTCCAGTGTAGTCTTTGTGTAGCGCTACGTTTCGGCCGAGAAGGAGTGGTGCTAAGTTATGCGCTACCATAAGCATGCTCTAAAATCACTTCGCATACCTACATCCTCCCACGGCAACTAAATCTTCTGTCCACGCGATCAGGTCATCAGACTCGTCCAAAAGGCTGAAAAAGCTGAAATCTCTGAAATGTGCATCGATTGGTCTGAGCAATTCGTTGTATTTTGAGTGAACTGCAGTCCAGAATGAAACTCGTCTCTGCGGATGCTTTTCAAAATCTTTTTACTTTAATCTTTCTCACACCTCATCAATAAGACGTTGCTAGATTTCGATGAAAACCCTCTCGCTGGCTATTCTTTTTTTTATGAATATTGCCCATAATCGGCAACATTTTTTTAGGAAAAGGGGATCAGTGATCGGGGAGCTACGGGAATAAACATGATTTGCAAGTGCATCAACATTCTGTTGCACTTTCCTCTTCCCTCAGTGTTGAGCAGCTGGCCAAACAGTTTCCTAATTTTGATGCAGAGTTGTCAAATAGTTGTAAGCGCTGTTTTTCCACTCAAGAAAGTGTATGCAATGTCATGCACTTTTTTCTTGGTCGAAGGTGCCTTTCAGTGTTCAACTGATCGTTCTGATCAAAGTTTCCCAACTGAAGCTGCGTCTATACTCGGTAGATAGGCTGTGTACAACCATGTATAGTAATCCTTACTGCATTTTCAAACACTAGAGGTGCATGTTACTACAGCAGCCAGTTGAAATACTCAAGCTGTTCCGTCTTGTCGTTAGTTTAGTTAATTCATTCCTCTTCTATTCTTGTCCAGTGGGTTATTGGCTGTAGGTTTTTTCCGGCTCTAAACCAACTCCGAATACAGGCAGTTGGTCGTGGATCTTCTCTGTTCAATTTTATTTGACCGTACTTTTTTGACCACTCTTTACATTGTTTTTTTTCCCAGGATACTTCTTAGCTGGTCCATCCGATTGCTGTAAAGTAGTAGCTAGCTGGTGAAAACGTTGAAGATTTCGACGTTTGTAATCCTTTCCATGGTGCACCATGCCACGTATTTACGATTTCCTCTCTGAGTTGTGTCGGTCTCCGCCTTCGGTTTATTCAATAGAATTATGGGGGCCAGTGTTCCAGGTAACTTCAATAACATTTGGATGATCTTTCAGGGAAGAAATGCTTAGTTGTCTTGTAACTGGTGTCCACTGCAGAAATCACAGTTTTCTGAAGTTTTTTCTGGAAAGTCAACCACCTTCCCTCCGACAGTAGGTCCTAGTTAGTTGTTCGGTTATAAGCACTGATGTACGAACAGAATATTGTGTGCACAATGTTCCAGATGAACAATAATCTATCAAACTAAGTAAGCAAAATTTTTAAACGCTTGGGCTGTCGTACTCTCAGTGTGCTACCCTTGATCGACGATTTTGATCAATAGAATCTTCGAATTTATCTCTGTAATATTCCTTTTTTGATTGCCATCCTAGCATAAAGTACATATCAAGGTGAATAGTAAGATGGATAAACCAGACATTTCCATTTTCAGCGATCCTCCAAGGACCATACCGGCGATGCACTCGAAGCGCATTTTGCCTTTTCCGTGAAGTGATTTATTCGACGGACCCGGTCCTAAATGATAATATTCGTTCCTGTCATTTCGGCCGTTCGTCCTTCGCCGATGGAAACTCATCTTCCTGAGAAACAGGCAGGCGTATATTAGAAAATGTTATTATTCATACAGTTTTTCACTGCGTAGCCAACTTTTTCCATATCCGCTTGGGCAATCTTAGAATACCAAAACTGTGAAAATGCAAGCAGACTGTTTTTGAGAGGAAAAGATCGGTGTTGGCAAACTCATGTAAAAAGAAAGATGCCTAGTGCCTACAAAAATGGTTTCTGATATTCCGCACTGGGTTAAATCTCTGTGCCACATGGAACTGCAAGGCTATTTGCCTGGTTGAAAACGGCTTGGGTAGGGCGTCGTAAGAACTCAAAGATGTATTCACATGTTTTATTCCAGATCCCAATAGTGGTTGTGCATTCATAACATTGTACATAGAGGCTGCATCATTTATGATAGAGCTATATGCGTGTTGGAAACTCAAAGACTTGATTAGGGAGAATAGCATGTAACATGACCAAACAATAGCAAAATGACAACAGTAGTGAGTAATGAAATCACAAAAGTAGCACAAGAAGTAGCACAAAAAATTAGTTACAAGCAGTTTCGACCCGCGGCGTCGTCAATGGTAGTCAATTTTTGGCCGGGAACGGAACATTCATAAAATCCTAGATGGACGCGACCGTGTGGTGAAATTTGTGGCGAATTAGACGACTCTGGCGCCTACCACTGGGACACAAATTCGAAGTAGGGTAGATTAGTAGCATAAGCTGCTCCTACTTATCCCATCCACTCAAGACCCCCTCAGCGGGTTTTCGCCCTTTTCGCTGTCTTTGCACCATTCTCTACCAACGCTTCTATTATTTAGCTTGAAAAAGGCGTTTTAGAATCACTGTGTACCGTGCCTTCAGGAGAGCAGCGCGCAGACCCTTGGACTCGTGTAATTCTTTCTGATTGGTTGCTGTCAGCTTTTAGATTGTATCTCATAAGAGTTGGTAACAAAAATGGTTGATTACTAGACAGTGGGAGTGTTGAGTCGCTGATTTCATGCGTGATTCGTCGTTCAGGAGTTCAAGGATTTGTGAATACTGGTCGGTTGATAGTGAGAGCTGATTACTTTTTCGTGAGTTGCGAAGGCAATAGAAGTGCTATTACGTTGTAATCCTGGCATAAGGGTGTATCATAAGGTGTTGTAGACATTAAACAGAAGAATGAAAACGGTGATGAAGGAAGGTATAAATATAACGGTCTGCACATCCTCTCTTCACTGTCCAAGGGCCAGGTTAGCGGATTTCGCGATGGGATGATGTCAGGCGCTTTTCACTTTCCCCTTTTCACTTTTCTCAGCAGTACTGCGCGAGTGCATTTTCTTATTTACTGCTCTAGGGGAAGACTTTAGAGCTCAGAAATATTCAATAAGCTCCCTCTCTGCTGTTTATTCATACTTGTTAGCTAAGAGTTAGGAAGTAGCAGTGATGGATGTTGACGCCTTTGTAAGTGTACGTAGCACAACGAAGAAGCCTCAAATCTAGAGGTTTGTATATCATGAAGCAGATAAAAAAACGATCCTTCTACATCTGCACACTCGTTATCCTGTGTTGCCTTCCTCGCATTTGTCGGAGAAAATTTTACGGAACAAGTGGAAAGGGCAAACTGGGAAAGCCACCATTTCTCCCACATTATTGCAGAGAAGAAGTCAAAGTGTGAAGTGAAATTGTGCAGCATTCCTATAATGCCATCAAGATTTATTGGAAACGGAAATATTTCATTGTTTCGGTTTCTTACAAAGTGCTTTCTGGTAGCATGTATAGCCGTCGGTGCAATTTTTGCATGGTTGGCCTTCTAGGTAGAGCTCGCTGCCAACTTTAACTTTCCTATATTAAATGCATATCATCCATCACGACCTTGGTAATGGCATGCCTTCGAAAATGTAAACCTACTTTCCGTAGATGCAAGCAATAGTGAAATAGGACTCGTATCCGTGACTGTCCTTGCAAGAGTTCACTGAACACCCGACCTTATCTATATCCGCCTGAGCCATCTGGAAAGACTAGGACTGTTCGTAAATGTTGAATAATCTGCAATAGACGTTAGCCAGAAAATGTTGTCAAGCCATGTAATGACTGCCATTCAGCAGACGACGTCGGAAAGGAATCATGAATGTTTAGTTGCATAAATTTTTGAATATTTCGCTCAGCGTTCCTTTTGTCGGCTTATGTATAGTATTTCATGAGAATTGACTGACAAAACTGACTGATTACTCACCAAAAAGAATGGGATCGCCGTGTAGTCTGCCTCAGTAATATTCTGAAGTTTGTCCCATTGTGGCTTCTGGTTCCACCATTCCGAGACAGCCTTCGAGTACATCCATCGTTCTTATGTTCAAGACGAAATGGCTGAGTGTTCCGGCTTACCTGATTTGCTACCTTATTCGGACCGTTGTCTGTGCGGTACTCAATGTTGGCGACATTTTTTCTTCTTCTAGTAAATCGAGTTCTATTTGAAAACTTCTTGCATGTTGTGGTCAACTTAATGGCTTCCTTTTCCAGACTACAATTGTATGTCTGGAGAAAGTAATCTACATGCTGACGATATTGTTGAAAAACGGAAATCTCCTGTCTCACCATGAAGCGCATATTTGCTGCTGGCGGCAATGCTTCTCCTCCTTCAGCAAGTAAAGCCCTGTAACAACATCATTTACGACAATGGATCCACAGTTAAGATATTCAGTCTACCTGTCATTTTCATGAAAATTCCGTGCAAATTACTCGATGGCGATTTACCAATGTACGGTATCCCTCTATGGAATAACTATTATGGAATCGCACCTTTTTTCGTTGTGTGCTTGAAGGAACGTTCTTCGAACTGTATACACCATGAATTGGTGGCTAATGCCACAAGAGACAGGTGCATCTGAAAATGATAGCAGGATCAGGACGTAGTTTCGGAAATTCGGTTCATGTCGGTAAGCAAGAAGAGCTGCATTGATTTGTTACGAACCACTGGGGCTGATCCTGAATCCACAGCTGTTCTGAAGAGCCTGAAATTCGAAGCAACATTCATCTGTTGATCTGTAAACTGCTTTATAGAGTTGAAATGTAATGGTGTCAAAGGAACGCACCAGCAGTAGTATGGCTATTAGGCAAATGAGCATTTTGAGTTTCACAGTAGCTTCTGCAAAAGATTTTTTATGACCCTCACCATAATATTCATTAAGTGATTCTTTGTCTGCCACGATCTGTAAGCTTGAAATTAGAAAAGCCTTTATACTCAGTGGAATTCTTCTCAGACTTAAGTATTGTTGCAGCTGAGCGTTGTTAAACTGATTGAGCATACACTTGATTGACACCGCTTACTGGTACGCAATAGCATTGTATCTAAATCTAAAAAGGAAACCCTACAATGTTTTGCAAGCACTTTGTCTACTGTAATATATTCATTTGGTTTTATTACAATCACCTGAATTCTGTTTCTTCATAACCAATTGGAAGTTGTCAATTTTCAACTACTTCGGTTAGCGGCACAATTGCTTCTCCAACCGATTATACTATACACAAAGCAAATGTTTTCCACCCTGCTCCCTCCCACTACACTGCTTCTTGGTGAATCCATTTGATTAGATTTGGTCAGTTCTGTGGAGGTGCATTAGCGTCGATTACTGCCTTTAAGAGTGCGGGTGCAGTAAGAACGAAATTGTCGAGGCGAGAGAGGCCGCGCGCGAAGGGAAGTAGCAGAATGCAGGAGCGAGTAAGAAATGCAGGACAATAAGAAATAACAGTAGGATCATGCCTAAAGTAATAATCGCATGGCGATTGAGCTGTATGAAGAACGCTGGAACTGTTATGATGGGACAAATGGTCCGTGCGGCGGATCGATTACACAAAACCGTTCTAACTGCCCTTCTTCCCTGCCTTTACTGATGTTGGGCAATGATCCCAAGGTAAACTAGAAGGAGTTTCACAGTCGTATGATGTTCCTTGTGGACTGGATCACCTGGATCCCAACCGGAGATCTTTGCAGAGGAAAAAAAGAAGCTAGCTGAGAAAACACGAATGCGAAGTGTTTCATTGAAATCTCTCTTCGTTCCGCTTTTAAACCGTTTTGTAGCTAGATGCAGCGAATAATGTTTAATGACAGGGGGCTGCTAAAACATTGTATTCAGCTATTTCCGGTAAAGCAAACAGTTGCGAACAAATTATTTCACGAACTGTGCCCTATTTGTCTTAATTCTTTCCTTTCTGTGCGCTACTCTTTGCCCCTCTGCATCTGCAAGCAGATATGCTTGTACTGTTTTGAATGTCTTTGTCCCCAAAAAGTGCTTCAAACTTTGGTCTCTCTATATTGTCTTGTAGATCTTCTTCAATAGTGCACCACGCACTTTATTGACCTCATCCAATCCATGTTGCAGCGTCAGCAGGCCCTGATTAAACTGCACTAACTCCATGGATAGAAAGAAAGAAGAAGTAGAAGAATCGCAAGTTGCTGAGTATTCGGATATGCATTTCGTATATTCAGAGCCCTCTCGGAAATGTTCTTCTTAGGTGGCTTTAAGTAGCCTTTGCTGGGTTTGGGCTAAGGTGGGTTGGTGACAAGTAATGCGCTACCGTGAGCATGCTCTAGGATTCGACAATACCTACATCCGCCTGAGCTACAAAGCCTCCCCTCCCTAGAGTCAGCTTAGCTCAATCGTTAGCAGATTTGTTTGGAAGGCTGAAACTACTGTAACTCTCCTACATAGACTAGGCTCTGCCGGTCGCTGTGTCAGCAGAGTATGCATTCTAAGTGGCACTGCAGTTTTGATGGAACTTGTACTTATAAGCATATCAAAATCTTCGATTCGCCTTTTTTTGCACTTCGTCATGGAGAAACTGCTAAATTTTAAAGTGTTTTTTCCTATGTAAACTATCTTTCATCCTTGCAGAACTCTCTTTTCGTGAACATTGCTTGATTGGTAGCGTTCTACAATAAAGGCGGTTCGAAAATCGGAGTGCTACGGGAAAAAAAAGGATTGCTATTACATCAGCCCTCCGTTGAAAATTCTTTTTTCGTCAGTGTCTTTAGCTGATCAAACCATTCCAAAACTTGGTTGCAGAATGGCCAAATGGTTGAAAATGCTGTTTTTCTACTCGAAAAGGGTATTGTGCACGCAATATGGCTCACAGTATTCCAAGGCAGTTCCTAAGTGACACTTCGCAGACCTTTGCCTTCACGACACATCCTTGATGGAAGTCGAAAGAAATGGCAGCGAATCTGAACAGAACAGCAAATTTCTATTCGTTTGCCTTTGTTGACGACTAGTATTCTGCATCGTACAACGACGCGGGTATGACCGTTGTGTGAAACAAGGACGCCTTCACTTTCTTTGGGAAGTCTTCGTGTAGTAATACGTTAGGATTTTGTTGAAGCTAGACCAAGCTGCTTTCCTGCTCCTGCTGTACTCTCCGCTGCTGCTCTTTGGGAAGCTGAGCTGGTGCCCGTGGTACCTAAAGCCTTTTACTTCCTCGATGGTTTCGCCATTTATTTTGATATTTGCGGTAGGACTGAAGTGATTGTGCATCCACTTCGTTTTTTACAAACTGACAAATTCATTTCAAGTCCGATTCCGCTCGATTTCATGATTGCACAAGTTTCTCTTGGAGCCCTAGGGCATCATGTGCAAAAATGACGCAATCGTCAGCAAAGAGCAGATAGGTCAGGTGTTCTCCATCGATCTCCATACCTCCGGTCCAGTTATTGAACAGGGCTTCCAAAGTTAGTGCAAACAATTTCGGGGAAATCTTATCCCCTTGCCGTACGCCCCCGTACATTTTTATTTGGCATGGATCGTTGAAGAGCTTCACTTCTGTGGTACAGGCACTATTCAGTTCTTCGACAAAGTCAACATAGCGCGAATTAATACCGTATCTTCTCATCGTATTTGGTATCGCTTTTATGTCAACCGAGTCTTGCTCCCTGTAGTCGGCAAATGCCATAATAAGGGAATCTGATACTCTCCACATTTTTCGGTAAGCTGACGTACAACGTGGACATAGTCAAGTGTGGAATACCCGCTTCAAAATCCCTGTTGCTCTCGGCTCATGGCCATGACCAGCTCTCCGATTACGCGATTCAGAAATATTCTTCTGGTGAGGCCTTATAGTCTTTAGACAGGAATGAGATGGGTCTGTAAATGTCCAAACTGTCGGGATCGCCTCTTTTCATTAGCAGTATCCTCCGTGATTTCTTCTGTGCCGCCGGAATCCACTTCTCACTGCAGTATCTGCTAAAGCCCTGTAGCAGCGCTTCAAAGAGCACTAATTATTCTTCTGTTTTCAGGTGCGCGGGACGGATGTTGTCGCAAGCTGGGCTTTTCCCTACCTTAATCTGTTTTACTGCATGCTCCACTTCTTCCTATATGACATCT